TAAGAAAACCAAGAAACCACACAATACTTGTATTGATTTGTACACACAGCATCAGCCACTTCCAGCTGTACTTTAAAATGCCATTTTTGTATCTGCGTGGTAGGTGGAACAAGTACCAACAACTGAACAGCAGTCTGTCCCATATCCTTCAAAAATGCTTAATGAAAAAATTGTTTCATTTTCTGCCTAGTAGATCTGCTAAAAGCAAGTTTTTTTCCATTACTGAAGTGTTTATGCTAGATGGCACACTGAATAATGTCTAAGAATCAGCCTGAGATTTGAAATGTTATGGTTTCTGTCTGTTTGGACCTCTGACTTTCCTGGACATAAAAGCAAACTCAAGGTCAATCTCCTATACACACAGGCTCAAATGTTTAAGCATTTAGTATGAAAAATAAGAATGTATGTCTGTATATGTCTTTGCAGGTGCAAAGATTTGTATGTATCAATTAGAAAATGTTTCACAGTCGTGGAGCTTTGTACAGGACAAGAATAAATAGGACAGAGGCATCTTTACCTCAGTGTGTTCCCTCAGTTCTGAGAGCTGCTCTCTCCTGTGCCAGCTCCTGGTGTTACAAGGTACCAATAAGGCAATTTGTGAGCAGATGACTCATCCACACTTGGAATTATCTGTGGCAGAGTGGGGCGAGCAGCACAGGTAACAATATGTGCATACATTCTCCCTGAAGGTTTTGGAAGGCAGAGTAAACATTTGAAAGGGTAAACAGAGTAAATGATGTGCTTTGACAGCAAGATGAGCTTGAAGGAATACTAATCTGGCAGGCATTCCATTTACAAGAATTGTACAATCTTAAAACTATTTGCCTTGTATCTCTGCTGTATATTCACTGTAAATAAAAATAATTACTTCACTGGGAAATAAAGCTTGTAAAAAGAAAAGTTAACAAAACCTTGAAATGCAAGCTTTTCCTACAAAGCAAGGATAGTTTTAAAATAAAGTTTCCCTCTGACCCTTGAATTAATTTATAATCACATCCACAGCATAAAATCTTATTTCTTCTTATGTAGTATGTAGATGCTGAACAAAAATAAAAGGGGGATGCATTTCTCTGTCAGAGGCTGAACAGATAGCAGGTTTCAGACTAACTGCAAATACGGGAGAATAAATTGCAATCTTGTAAGCCTTTGTGCCAAATTTGTCATATTTTTACTTCCTAGTTGCCACAGAAACTTCAGTCAGACTATTTTTATTTCAAAATGCCTCAATTTCAAGAAGAAAACAAACACATTTCTCAAGAAGTTTTCAGCTGTTGCAAAAGATCTAATTTTCAGCAACAGTATTCCCAAATGAATCAGAAATCTCATTTTTCATCTCAGTGCTAATGACACCCTACAAGGTGATAAAATTAGCAGCTGGAAAGTGTAATCTTGCCACCACACTTCTCAATTTGCCATTCACTTTTTCAAGCCTGTTGTTCAGTTCATGCCATTTTCTCAACAAATTTCCAAATTGTTTGTTTAATTAAAAGCCCAAAGCATATGTTGCTGACAAGCCTTTTATAACATTTTCATTATTCTCATGAGAGCTTTGTCTACCAAGAAACATTTCTTCCTGTCTCCATGATCACTATTCTTTTTTAAAGTAGGCTCAGTTCACTTATTAAATTCTAATTTCCAACTGATTTTCTCAGATATGTTTATTTTCAAACTGGTTTAATAACCAGTCTCAGTAGAATTTGCTGGCTTTATCTTCTCTGATAGAGAAATTTGTACAATTGATAGTATGAACATTTCATAAACAGAAAACAAACACAAGAATACTCAACTTCTTGGTGCAGGGAATTTCAAAACTGTTGAGAAAGGGAATATATCTGTTTCACTCTTAAAAATTTCAAATCCACAGAAATAAAACATTAACAGAGAGTTCAAGATAAATTAAATTTAGCGATCTGTCCAAAGCCTCTTTCAGTTCCTGAAACCATCTAGCTCTGTGACAGTAAAGCCCCTTCTACTGCCTTTACCATGCAAAGGCTGCTTTTAGCTTTTTACAAGGTAGGCTGGAATATTTTGAGTGGCTTAAAGATTTTTTAAAATTTCTTTGACTCTAATTGCAAATTTCTTATGAAGAATATTATAATGAAATTTTCTTGCAGGGAAATTCCATACTGAAATTATGCAATTTATTCAGAGAATGCAGCCCACTGCCCAAATTTGCTGCTTTGCCATCAAAGATCCTTCCTGCCATGCAAGAATTGGGCTAGACCCAAAGGTGAGATAACAATGAGGGGAGTCCAGAGAACATCCGAACCTGGTCCAAAAAGCAAATGTCAAACTCCCCTAATTTCCAGGTAAAGTAAATGTCAAACTCCCCTAATTTCCAGGTAAAGGGAAAAAAGAAAAAAAAAAAATCTATGTCTCTGACTCACATCCCGATCTACTATTAATGAAAGAGACAAATATTTTATGTTTTTACACAATAGGGGTCTAATTTGGAACAGGGTGCTGTTGAACAAAAGGTAATTGACAATTATGTGATTAACAGGAAATGTGACTTACCTAATTTGCAACAAAACAAAGTGAAGTAAAAGAAGTAAGGAGCAGTTGGTGGCCCCATGTAGCACTGGCCTTTTAATACTCAGGAGATGCTTATTAAAAGAAGCTTTTAAAAGAAGACAAATTGGATGTGTTCTATTCAGCTGGGGGATGCTGATGGGACACAGCATATGCTTAATTTTATAAAGTTAACCCTTCTTGCACATTTTGTGAAGGAAATTTGAAAACTGTTAATATTTTGCCAATACTTTTTTGCCTTTATTGAAAAAGGAACAGGACATTATGCCAAGAGGAAATGCAAGGTAAGACACAGAACAGAGAAAATTTTGAAGTGATCCAATGGGTTCAGAAAAATAAAAGAAAAAAAGAAAAGAGCCCTAGCCCTAAACTTTTAAGTATATTTACATATTTAATACTAATGGAAGCATATTTACAAAGATTAATATTAATAATGTTTACATGCTAAGTACAGTTTTAATATTCTGAGAACAGTGATGCACACAAATAACTCAAGCATGTCTAAGATTAAACATATATGAAAAGTGGAGTAAAGTTTCAAGTGGTAGATTTTAATCAAGACCAGAGAGAACATAACCCCAGAAGGTTCTGATTTGTTGAATTCCCTTTTCTTCTTTTCCCTGTCCCACTTAGTATTTCATAAAAACCTTTGAGTTCTCATGGATGCAATAGTATTGCCCATGAATAAATTAATAAAGATAAGTGGTTCTGAATACTAACAAAAATCCTGAGCTACACCAGCCCATGGTGAATTCACACTGGTGTATTCAGAGAGTATTTCCAGGGACTTTCAGGAACTCATGGTTCTCGCTGTTCAAAGGCAGTCCTGGAGCTCTGGCAGAATGCAGAGCCCACCTATGTGGATTATGTCACCTTACTGCCCATGACAAAAGGGAAAGGGACTCAGTGACAGAGGATATCTTGTATTTCTAATTATATAATTGAATTCTCTTGGTTTTGTAGCATCACAGTCTCTCTTAAACACAAAACATGAACACAGAACACCAGTGTCGGTCTTAATCTAGTTTTACTCCTGAATAGATACATGATTTTCCTAGTTTCATGGGAATACACTTTGCCATTTCTTGATAATTAATATATTTTCTTAGGAGCTGAGAAAATGAGATTTATGTAAAAAATATTATGAAAACAACTAATTTATTTTCGTGTATTTATTAGTCCCTCTGTATTACCATGTAAAGAAAATGGACCAAATTCCTTTGTTTACAGTGTAGCTAAATGACATAGGTGTTACATCAGTCAGTGGTTTTTGAGAAGTAATAAGGCCACACAAAAAGCTGGAGCAGTGTGAACTTTTTTCCTTTTGGGCAGACTACATTAACACACTTACTGAAGGAAGGGACAGTAATGATCCAGTCAGTACTTATCAGGACAAAATTAGTAATGATACATAATCCCAGTGGTTTAAAAGTACAGAGTTCCAGTTCTAACAAAAGTCCTGGTAATGCCTTGGTTTAAAGTCTGAATAAAATCTGTGCGTGTAACCCTCCAAAACAGCTTAGTATTAACAAAAACAAACAAACAAAACAAAAACAAACAAATATAGAAATCTGAACCAGAACCAACTTTTAGTGTCCAATGTCCAGATATCAATGCTTAGACACTGGAAATCTCTGTACAATTCTGAAGAATTGATCAACAGGAAAACTGTTGAGAAAGGTTAAAACCCCCAGTTAATTGTAAATTGTAGAGTTCCCCCCCCCCCCCCAAAGTTCTAATGATGTGGAAGCTGCATAATAATCTCCCTGTGAACCATAAACATAATAAAAGCTGAGGCCATTTCTAACATAATCTCTATCAGCAAGATGCCAGCGCTTTTCCAGATTTCCTAACGGGTCCCTGCTAATTCCATGCCAAAACTAGCAGTGGATTTCTTCCTTTTAATCCCCCCTAATGCCTTATTCGATTATTGTCACTGCTCTCCGACCGCGCACCGTCCCTTCAAACCCTAATTCCCCCCCTGGAACGGTCAGATGAGGCTGAACGGCGGCGGCGGATCCGAGGGACGCGCACGGCCGCGGACAGCCCGCACGTCCCGACCGCGGGGCCGGGGCTGAGGCGCCGGGCTGGGGCACCGGGCTGGGGCACCGGGCTGAGACACCGGGCTGAGACGTCGGGCTGAGACACCGGGCTGAGACATCGGGCTGAGACACCGGGCTGGGGCACCGGGCTGGGGCACCGGGCTGAGACACCGGGCTGAGACACCGGGCTGAGGCACAAGGCTGAGCCACCGGGCTGGGGCACCGGGCTGGGGCACCGGGCTGAGACACCGGGCTGAGACACCGGGCAAAGCGACCGGGCTGAGGCACCGGGCTCTGCCAGCCGGGCTGAGGCACCGGGCTGGGGCACCGGGAAAGCCACAGGGCTGAGCCACCGGGCTGAGCCTGCCGGGCAAAGCCACCGGGCTGAGGCACAAGGCTGAGGCACCGGGCTCTGCCAGCCGGGCAAAGCCACCGGGCTGAGGCACCGGGCTGAGGCACCGGGCTGAGGCACCGGGCTCTGCCAGCCGGGCAAAGCCACCGGGCTGAGGCACCGGGCTGAGGCACCGGGTTGGGCCACCGGGCTCTGCCAGAGCCTCACCCGGCCGAGCCCCGGCGCCCGGGTGAAGGATGCGCACCGACACCGGCTCCAGCTGACGGGTCTGAGGGCACCGGAGCGTCCCCGCACACACCTGCGGCATGGCTCTGCTGCTCGCCTGGGCGTGTGTGGCTGTGAGGTGAGTGAGCCCCGCGCCCAGCCCCGAGCGCTCCCCGCTCTGCCTCCCGCCCCGCGCCCCCCGGGGCCGGGGCTGACGGGGACTCGCCTCTCCCCGCAGCGTGGGGACGGCGCTGGGCGACCAGGGCGACGGGGCGGACCTCTACTCGGAAAACATCACTCGGATCCTCGACAAGTTGTTGGACGGCTACGACAACAGGCTCCGACCGGGATTTGGAGGTAGCGGGGGAGCCTCGTCCCCTCGGGGAGCCGGCGGGTGGGGCAGGGCGAGGCAGCGCTCCGGCTGCCCGGGCAGGAGCGGCTGGTCCCGCGCCCGCGGCAGGAGGGAGGAGAGAACCCCAGAAGCGGCGGCGAACAGCAAAGCTGCCCGTGCCCCGCAGCCCCGCTCTCGCCGAGCTTCCCCGCTGCCCTCGAACAGGGGCCCGCAGCCCCGGCCCCGCTCCTCTCCCAGCCCCTCTCCTGTCCCGCAGGCGCCGTGACAGAAGTCAAGACGGACATCTACGTGACCAGCTTCGGGCCGGTGTCCGACGTGGAGATGGTAAGGGCCCCGCTGGCCGCCCCTGCTCTGTTTTCCCGGGATTCATTACGGTGGCATCTGAGTTGACCGTCATTAAAGCAGATTACGAGGCTTAATCTCTTCGACAATCTCTAGGGCCCAGCAGAGCAGTTTGGCCAGAGCTGCATACAGCTATTTCCCGGCCGTGCCAGCCGGGGCTGGGCGCACACAGCCCCAGGTGAGGGCACGGTCGCAGGTAAAAGATGCCTCTAGAACCCTGGGAAGAAGAAGGTGAGCTCCTGGTAGGAGGCGGCCGAATGAGCAGCTGCAGGAAAATGGTGCCATTGCTGACACGGCTGCCCCGGTCACGCTGGCTGCCCCCAAACTCAGGCAGCTACAGACTTGTATGGACTCTGTCAATGTGGACAGACGTTCAGACTTGGGTGGACTCTTTCAATGTAGACAGACGTTCAGATTTAGGTGGACTCTGGCAACTCAGCAATAGCCCCAAGGAACACATTAAGTCATGGAAGCGAGGATGACATTGCTTCTCTCTTTCTAGAAGTTGACTTGGGCTGCTATTTTTGCCCTTGTACACACCTCTGACACCAGCTCACATGAGCCTGCAATCCATTCTGCAGGCTGGGAACTGTGGGCTCCAAGTACTGCCAAAGGTTTTCCAGTACTCTTCATCAGTCAAAGAAAAGGCATAACCTTGCATTCTTACAAAATCTTCCTCTGTCCAGGTTTAGCTCTGTTTCCTAAGCAACTTCTGCAGAGAGATCTTTTTTGAAGATTTGTGAAAATATTACTAAGAATTCTTGGAAAAAAGTTCCATTGATTAATATTAACTTGACACCACAATCCTACTGTGATGTGACTCAGATTAGTCCTCACTTTGCGAATATCCAAAGGAAGCTGCAGAAGAGTCACTGAATGTCTCTTTTTTGTTTCTAGCAATTAAACATTGATAGCTTGGTTGTTCACTTTGTAAGGTAGACATTTGTATTTCCTTAGACCTCAGTCACTTTGAATTAGTTTAGTATCTATGAGAGTACAATGAGGGTATTTCTTTTCCTTATTCATGTCAAATTATCTGTTCACTGATTCATTTGTAACTATTCTTCAAATAATAAGAAAATAGGATATGTTTTCATGGATGACTTTTTTAGCAACTACTTAATGATAATAGGATTGAGTGTTTAAGCAGTAAATTAAATGCCATTGACATGTGTGTTAAGTTGTCTCATGAAGTTACTGTCCCCACAGCCACTTAGGGACACACAGATGTCAACCCCTATTTATTTTCCATAGGAATACACAATGGATGTCTTCTTTCGTCAGACGTGGACTGATGAGAGGCTGAAGTTTAGTGGGCCAACTGAAATTTTGAGACTGAACAATTTAATGGTCAGTAAAATTTGGACACCAGACACGTTTTTTAGAAATGGAAAAAAATCAATTGCTCACAATATGACAACCCCTAACAAACTTTTCAGAATTATGCAGAATGGAACTATTCTTTACACTATGAGGTGAGAGCTTTGTTCTTCTGCTTTTGGTTGACCTGCATTTTTGATTCTATCAGCATTTTCCTACATACCATATTTTTTCATTATCTACAACTATGTGTTCTAGACTAACTATTAATGCTGACTGTCCCATGCGGCTGGTGAATTTCCCAATGGATGGACACGCCTGTCCACTGAAATTTGGAAGCTGTAAGTTTTTCTGTATCTTTCAGTTTGCTGAAGTAACACATTTGGTCAGAAGGTCAGAAGATCCTAAGATATTACTTAGTGACACAGCTGAAATTTTAAGTTTTATTTTTATATTAGAATTTTACTTTTTTTCTCTGAGACTCTGACTATTCATATGGACATGGATTTATTCACTGAAGGGTGACTGTTGAAGCATGCTTTATTGTTTATTATTCTTATACTTCTGGTAGTCAAAGTTGGTCCTTCAACAAACCATAAAACCTCTGCTACATTTACTATATTACTTCTAATTTTGAAAATAGTCTATAGGAGTCAATTTTGAAAATATTTAGTTGAGCTGTGGAAGCCAATGTGTATGTTTTATAGCAAATTAAGAAGCAACAGCTTGTTCCTCTCAGGTCCCACCTCAGCCATTCTCTTATTGCTGCTTTTTTTTTTTAGTTTTGTTATTAATGAGGTTAGGAACTTAACTAGAGTAGGATGCATGTTTCTGTGGGCATTTGAACTACAAAATTCTACTTATTTCAACTACTTATAAAATATGAAATTAGTAATGGTCATTTTGCCCTCTCTTACTCAGATGCTTATCCAAAAAGTGAAATAATTTATACTTGGAAGAAAGGACCATTGCATTCAGTAGAAGTACCACAGGAGTCTTCCAGTCTTCTCCAGTATGACCTCATAGGACAAACTGTATCCAGTGAAACAATTAAATCTAACACAGGTAAGATGGAGCCATGTGGAAACTACTGGTGTTGTGAAACACCTTGATAATAAAGTACAGGGATTTTTTCATATAGAATGAAATTAATATTCTTTTACCATTATAAAAAGTAAAACCCTTGGACAGACTCTAACCATTGTCTCTTAAAAGACAGATTTTCAATACAGTCCCATCAAACACATATTTTTTTCATGAGATTCTTAAGAATTCCCACTGCCTCTCCATCCCAGTAAAAAAAAATGCATAAAACGAGTATTATTCTGTTCTGTTTCCATAAGGTCACTTTACCTTTTTTTAAGCAGCTTATTTTTATTATGCACTAAGAGGTCTGTGATTTCACCAGAACATATTATGTTGGGTTTAAGCCAATAATGTTCACTCACATGTTACCAGAATAATGCTGACATACTTGTCTCTTAACAGGTGAATATGTAATCATGACAGTTTATTTCCACTTGCAAAGGAAGATGGGCTACTTCATGATACAGATATACACTCCTTGCATTATGACAGTCATTCTTTCTCAGGTGTCTTTCTGGATTAACAAGGAGTCTGTTCCAGCCAGGACAGTTTTTGGTATGCTGTGTTAAGGTCTTTGGGCTCAGCATCCCATCTGCCATTCATTCATTCATTCCTTTCATTGCTTGTTTGTTTTAGGCGAATATTCACTCCAGCTGCTCTATTTCCATCTGCAAAGGAAAATAGGCTACTATCTCATTCAGACATACATTCCATGCATCATGACTGTCGTCTTGTCTCAAGTTGTGTTTTGGATTAACAAAGAGTCTGTTCCAGCAAGAACTGTGGCTGGTATTTGTTCTTTTTGCTTTTCTCATTCATTTCATTCACTGTATTGAATCCATTGTATCAATCAGATACTGTAAACCAGGGGGGATTAGGAAAGGCAGCTAGTAGGTTTCAGTCAGCAAAAGCAAATACTAAAGTGAAATTATAGCAAATTTGCCTACGAGGGTCAACATTCTTGACTCAGAATGTTTGGTTAGCCAGACTTGTTTGTGACAATTTTCAATTGTATTGCAATTGTATTTTTGTATGCAGAAAGGGACAATTTCAAAGTAAATGTCAACCTATTCCTTTTTCATGAGTTTTTTTTTCCTATGGATTTATTGTCTCATGAAACCAATATGAGTTAAAGCTTTAAAAAAAACACAAAAAAACAAAAAACACATGGAATGGATTCTGACATAATGCACCTCATCTAACACTCATTCTGGAGTGCTCTCTTCCCCTTGGCTATGAAGGTATCTAGACAACTAACAAGGGCTTTAGATAGATAAAGATTAGTGAGATGAATAATGTCCCTAGCACAGGTTGAAGTTATAATAAGAAAGATGTATCCATACTGCAGGCAGGGCCTTTTTCATTCTTTCCAGTAGTTTGAATTAATGCTCTCAAAGCTTTGAGTCTCCTGGTTCATATAAATCTGAGGTTTATACTCCAGAAATGATGCTACCTGATTTGGCTTCATGTTGCATCTCTGGATTGTGGAGCCACATCCTCTATATTTTGAGTAAAAAATACTCAAAAAATATTTTGAGTAAAAAAATTTTGAGTAAAAAATACTTGCAACATAGTGGGCATGGAAGGTAACTGTACATGCTTGAAGAGATGTGCAAGTAGGTCTGTAGCTGATTTGGTAATAATTATATAAATACCCCAAACACTGGAATGACAGCTCTTAGGTGTTGTACTGAAGAGTAACATGAACTTGAGAAAACGTTTTATGAAAAGAATAAAATAAACTCCATTCTGTATTGTGGAAAGTAGTGATGTTAGCATTTTAAAAGAATGTTTCAATCCTTATTCTATTTGGATTTCTCCCAGGGCACATTTGTAGTCCTGATCCATTTGAATTTGTACTTCAGGACTACACATTTGAATCTGTAGTCCTGATCCATTCAAAATCCCATGGATTCTGAATACCTTAATCTAAGGAAAAGAGAGCAAATTCCTTATGACAAAAAAAGACTTGTGGTCTTTTTCAGTGAGAAAGAAAATTTTAAAATGGAGAAGGTTTAAAATGCATCATATTGCTAATACTTGAATTATACAATTTCACTTTTACTTGTAAGTCTGAAAACTAAGTTTGGGAGAAGAAAAATTAATATTAGAAGAATAACAATATGCCTAAACCAGTTTTTCAGCACAAAATAATTTAAGGACTTTTTTTTATCTCCAAAATGGATGCTAGCTATCAGATTTCAGTGTTTGCATTATGTAACATTCTTCAAAACTTACCAAGAAGCATTCAAAATGTAAAGACAAGGGTAAACAATCAGCAGTTGCAGTTTACTGACTGTAATTTGGTATTCAATTTGATGAAGTAGCTTTCCACAGTGCAGAGCATTTCATCAATATTCACTCCACATGGAGTGAATTCTTATCTATATCTGTAAAATAGGAGACCTATTCCTAAGTTAAATTCCTGCTGCAGTAAGTTTTTATTCAGACACAGAATATATCAATTATATTACTAACTAGCACATGGGAAGAGTCTAACTACACATCACTTCAAAAAGTTCATTCTGGACCTTTGAAATTGAAATACATCTCAGCATAGTTGTATTCATATAAAATGAGTCTGGAAGATCTGTGAGAAGTAGGAATTCTACAAGTTTATATACCATCTATTTGTATTTCATTAAAATGTGATAAGTAATGACATTGGAAGGTAGTGAACCTCAGACATCTGGCAAGCCACATCATGTGAGAGGTGCAGAGAAACTCTGAAAATAATGTCACCCTTTCTGGATGCTGCAATATGCTATGACACTGCATCCTTTCCTCTGAGCATCACTCATAGCATATTTCTTCATCAACTAAACATGACCACCACAATATGACATTAAAACCTCTTTTACTTTGCCACCTACCCTTTCCCAGCTGTAGAAAATAGAAGAGGATATTCTCCACCTCACTGTCTTTAAAAACCCACAGTTTTTACATTCTAGCAGGCATAATTATAAGTAAATATGAGTCACAGAGGCTTGTATGTAAATGATTGAGTTTGTTCTTGCATTTTTTGCTTGTACCAGGCAGCAGTAGGAAGTATATTTTCTACATTATTAATGCTGTACACTCCAATACAGAAAGAATTAATTCATGAATTCATGTGAAGGACACCATGGGGTCCATGAGCTACAAGACCAGATTTCCTCTGTGAAAATAGATAAGCAGCTCTAGAGTAGCAGCTTTTCTGTCCTTCCCTATCTGTAGCACTTTCAAATCAAGATACTCTTAGTGAATCTTAAAAAATGTATCCAGTGATTAAAGGCAACAGCTCAGGGACCAAAGCATTATTACTTGAAATGTTTGGATCAGGCTCTGACTGTTTTTAATGTAGAATTTGACTAATTTAGTGAGGGTTCTGTAAGCCATGGTCTATCTTGCACAACAACAGGAGAAAGAGAGGATCACTGTTGGGGAATGACAATATGTAAATCCAGGTTTCTGTCAAACATTCCACTTACCCACCAAGGAAAATCTCCTTCATATTTTGAGCCTGGATTTTGTTATAGCCACGTTTATCACAATTCTAAGAAGCTGTCCCATGTAGAATATTGTTATCTTTCAGTCTCCTCAATGCATTAAGGAAGTTTTTCCAGACCTTTTATATGTGGAATCCAGTATACATGAGTTATTTAAAGATACAAAATACTTAGGAGTCTTGTTGGTTAGCTGGGATGTAGGATGGCAGGTAAAATCAAAAAGGGTGTTGTGCTTTGGTTTTTGTCATATATGTGAATTGAAGAGTAGCAGGGCTGAAGCAAAGTTCTAATGCCCCCACTTCTCTCTCTTGTTTCCAAGGAATCACTACAGTGCTCACGATGACCACCCTGAGCATCAGCGCTCGCCACTCCCTGCCCAAGGTGTCCTACGCCACCGCCATGGACTGGTTCATCGCCGTGTGCTTTGCCTTTGTCTTCTCTGCACTTATTGAGTTTGCAGCTGTCAACTACTTCACCAATCTCCAGACTCAGAGAGCAATGAGGAAGGCAGCCAGGGCAGCAGCACTGGCAGCAGCACTATCAGCAGCAACTGTACCGGCAGAGGACGAGATTGTCTCGGTAATTGCTTGCTTTTCTGATAATAAGCATCATATAGGAACAGGCAGCTGAAGTAGCAAATGCAAAACAATATTAAAGTGATCTTAACCTGAAGCAGATTATGTAACCAGATTGTGTCTATTTATCAAAGACACCATTCTGATTCCAGAAAATGAAAAGACTTCATTTATTTGTACTGTTTATTTTAATTTGCAATATGATTTTCTAGAGAGATGTTCATTTGGCAAGATATTTAAGGAAAGCCATTAGACTGTTATCCATGATACTTCTCTCGAGCAATGCTGTAGGCAGTGTGGTCAGGCAGCTGCAGAATTTGTGGGACAGTGTACAATGGAATGAACATGTGCATTGGCCAGGTTTTTATGGGATCACTGTAGTACAAGGGTACAGACCATAAGTGAGCCATTTAGAAGATGGGTAATTAGCCTTTACATAAACTTAGCATCTCTTACCCTACTGAAATCTTCATTGGTGGAAGCTTTGGGGGGAAAAAACATAAATGAAGGATAGATTTTAGTACACTCGAAATACAGGAAGTCTTCCTAGTATCAAAAAACTGTGTTAGAATTGCTTGCAAACTTTACTCTGTAAATCTCATGCTAAACTGTGAGTGCTATCTCATAACATATGTTAAATACATTTATCATTGTGGCCTTCCTGCTTCAAAATCAGTTTTACTACCACCATGATTTCCATTTTTAGAGAAATAACAGATTTTGAATAACATTTTGCAAAACCTCTGAATCTGTAATTGAATAAAGGAGTCAATCTAAGAGGTGCCCATACCAAGGCAACACCTTACCCACCATAGAGTATTTTTCCACATCTGTTGATAAATAGCACTTAAAGTTACAAAATTTAACTACTTTCAAACTATTAAAATCATAGCTGATAAGTTTTGCTGATTCTTTTTTGGAGGACAAGCTATGAGAAAAGACAAACCACAAAGTTCACCTGGTTTTATATAGCATGAAGAAAATACTGATAGCTACTACATCTTGAAGAGGAACAACAGCTTGGACCTGTCCTTCACACATTTCCTTATTCAAGTTGGAGTTAACCATAGGGAGATTTACTAGAAAGGAAAAAACAAAATGAAAAATACTACTTTTGTTCTCCCTGAAGTCCCTGCTGAGCAATATGGAAACAGGCTGACTGCATGTGCTCCTGGTGCATTCACAGCCACTGTGGCCACCCCCTGCACATTCCCAGTCTCAGGAAAACAACTGATCCAAAAATAATCTTCTGCTTCTGCCCAGATAAGCTAATAACTTGCTCCTGATGATAGGGCTCCTCCAGATTTACATGATCTATGAATCCAGCAGACCAAGGCAGGCACCAGACATAAAATTTCTGTTGAACAAATTAACAAAAGATAAGGAAGTTAAAAGGCTCAAATTTCTTATCAAGGTCTTCAGCCTTAAACAAGCAAAGAGCAAACTGAAGGCCCTCCTTCCTGTTTTGTAAATATTAACTTGTTAGTTTTTTCAAGTAGAAACTGACAAAAGAAAAAAGAAAGCATCTAGGAATGAATAAAATACACATCTAGGAAGCACCCTGCAACAATCTGCTCAAGAAAACTATTTACATCTAGCTGACAGCATACAGATTTAGAGAGTAGTAAATCTCAGAACATTTAAGTCCCAAAGTAAACTCAGTTTCTAAAACAGCCCACAATGTCCACAAAATTCTACAGACCTGATCTTGCCCAAAACAAGACAGTAATTTTCAAGCCCTATACCTCCACCATGTTTTTATTTCAGGATCAGTTCTCTATAAGAACTGCAGTAAGAGAAAGAGCAAACTCAGTGAGATCATAAAAACAAGGGGTACTTACAACTGAAGGCAAGATGATGTAGTCAAAAAGGTTTCTAGAAGAATTAGCTATTGGATTTAAAATGTTCCCTTCCAGAAGGGCATTCTGGGAAAAATGAGTGATTATAGGATAACAGATTTTAAGAAGCTTTTCTTTTTTCATTCCTTTTTTTTTTTTTCCTTTGGTAGAGATAAGGGGGAAGGAACTTCTGTATGTTGCCACATCCATAGATATATTGCAGTCAGTGATATATTTTCATATGAAACAGACCTGAGGTGTCTAATTTGAATGCTGACAGTGTATTTAACACAGGTCAATTATATGTGTATGACCATTTCCTCTGGACTGCCAGTCTCACCGTGCCTTGTGCTTCTATAGCTACATTACTGGTCCTAGGGAAGTTATTTTTAAGGCACACAGCATAATACTCAGTTTCTTGCTAGAGTAAGGGCTCAAAGTCAAGATAAACATATCTACAGAATATATATATATATATATATATTTAAATTCCAGATTAAATGCTTTTTGAAAAAATAAAACAAAAAATTTAAAATATTAAGAGACTTTTTCCCCCTTCAGTCTATTTTATTAAAATAAAGTCTCTATTTTAATATTGTTTATTCAAATACACTCTAGTATTTCTCTATATTATAAAAACACAGGTGTTTATAATGTAGAGAAAAAACCTGCACACTCAGAAAAGAAATATGTCAGAGCACCAAATTCTGCTCTAGTGTAGAGTGAAAGTAGGAGAAAATGCTGCAGCCACTGAACTGTGGTGGGGTCAGTAAGAGAGATGAGGCTGTGCCTGTGTGCTCAGCAGAGAGCTGAGAGCTCAGCAGGCCTGGGCTGGCTCCAGGAAAGCCTCTCTATTTACCTCAGTTAACTGAGAGCAGGATTTGGCTTGCTCTCTTCATCAGCTGCAGGCAATACCTGTGTGAAACACAAAACACTGGGTGTTCCACTGCAGAACACGAGGGCAGCAAGCTGAGCATTCATCTGGACCCTGACACAAACCTGTTCTTACTCAACGGTGGCCAATCTGGCTTTAGCATGTCAAAACCAAACATCTTATACATGCATATATAAAACCATGATGGCATTTAGCTTTTAAACCCATTTCAAATGTATCTTTTCTATATCAATTGCATTCTTTCTTCTTGATGGCTTTCTTTTCCCAGGAAGATCCCAGTCCTGGAAGTTGCAGGGGAAAGGAATTGGTGATATTATCTGGAGGACACCATTTGCATTAATGCTTTGTGGGATGGTCAGGGAGTAACCCTATGGGATCAAAAGAAATCCTTTCCATGTGAGAGGCATCATGTAAAAGACAAAAGATTACCACCCTGTAATAACAGCTTGATTTCAGTTATGTTATAAAAGTCCTTATGTTTTAACAGAAATCAGCACAGAGCAGTGAAATACCTCTGGGAGAGCTTACTTCTACCTCCAGCCTTGTGTTTCAAAACAACCCAGCTTGGGGAGGGAAGGATTCTTATTCCCTTTAAGCTTGCCAGCTGCAGAACATCTGTATGTCACTGGCAGAGAGAATTTCATTTCCTACAATTATATCGGAATATATTATGTTTAATGAGTATCATGGTGTAACAGAGTACTTCTATCTGGATCACCAACCACCCTTTAGGTATCATCCTAAAATATGATTTAATTGTCAGTCAAGACTGACAACATTGAGGCATAATCCAAGCAATTTTTTTTTGCAGGAGGGTAGTGAGAACAAAATAAAGAAAATTTAATTATAGGAAAAAACCATATGGGCAGACACTGATAGATTTAAGAGTCAAATGTGGCTTTGAAAATTTAAATCTGTTTAATGTAAAAACATATTTTGACAGCAGAGAGGCTCTGTGCCAATTATATGTTTTTTCTGGCATGCTACAAATAAACATTATGAAGAAACTCTACCATAGCTCATTCCCTTTGAAAAGAGAATGACCAGAGTTCCAGCCTCTGCTCTCCTTACTGCATATCTGGTTTATATGACAGGAATTTTAATACAATAGGGATTGGGTATTTTTGAGTTATGCTTCATGCCTATATAGATCTTTAGATTTTTCCATGCAAAGTAAAATAGCTTTGAAGTAATAGGTAACAGCCTCTCCCTTTATTCACCTTCACCTTATGTTTAGGCTATAATCTGAGAGAAGTGAATTTAATTTCCTGGAGATTAAGAAAGAATTCAAGCATGGTTTTCCCCTGCTCCAAGTGAGCAATTTAACCTAAGTGATTTAACTCTTTAACTGGGTAAAAAATGATGAAAACAAGTCTGCATGTTTTTTCTCATTGTTTCTAATAAAGGTAATTTGAAATTCCTAAAGAGATACCTGAAGCTAGGGCTATTAATGAATTCTAAACTATACTCAGTTTTTGATTATGCAGGACACTGTTTATAGCTATAAACAGTACACATAATTTGCAATAGACATTTCTTTTAATTAGATCCCACAGATGAGATATTCAAGAAAACTGTCCTAATTAGGGTCTGTAATGAATCTGTGCCATGAGATGGATACTGGAACTGCACAGGACTGCATTGAGGGAAGTTCCTTAGTACTTGGCCAAAAGATGATGTTGCATAGTGCAATGAACTTTCCTGCTGGAAGATGCTGCATAAGGATTGTTCAATAGCTAAGGAGAGTTTTTGAAGATCACACTGGTGAATGTAGTTAAACCATGTTTAACTCCCCTTAGGGAGATAAGCCACTAGCATGTTGTTATGCCTGTAATGGTTGAAATGTCTCAAACTGTATTTATTAATGAGCAGAGGCAAAAAATGTTATACATTTAATTAGGCATTCTGCCTTTTACAGACACTGAGCTCTGGTTCTAGGTTGGTTCGTGTGTGTATGTTTTGATATAATGAAAGTTCAGTGTCTTTAATCAAATAAATTATGAAGAAAAGAAGAAATAACATTATTTTTATCTAAAGTTTTAGAGTTCATTCTCATGAACCTCTTTTTACTGCATTGCTAGCAGGAAAAAGAGATGTGAGTAAAGGGAGATAAGGAAGGACATACAGATATTCATTTTTTTAACGTTAGCCAGTATCTGGGTTGCATATATAAGAGACTCATGTTACTGTTAAATCATAAACTAAACTGATAGTGAGAATATACATTTGCAGTACAAAGCAACAGAGAAGAGAATTCTACAAATATGAATTACAGAAATCGCTTGAGGGGAAAGAAACATAAGAACAAAGTGCATTCATAAATCACAGTTAGCATGCAGTAAAAGAATCAGAAAGAGCAGACAAATAATTCTGTTTATTCCAAGGTTATGAATGGTGTATTTTTTTTTTTTAAATCTGAAAGGCAAGAAATTTGGCGAAAGCCTCCTGAGATATTCTGAGTATAAGCAAGTTTAAGTGATATTGAGGAGGTTGTGAGAGATAGGATGAGAATGCTTTGCGAGCTTTCCAGGGGATGAGCTAGCTTGGTGCAAAAGCTCAATAAGAAGCCAGACTTACCTTACAGGCCATCTACACACCAGTGCTGCCCAGTGCAGTGTGGGGGTGTCTCACATTAAACAGTAAGCCAGCAATCTGTGCTCTGTGTCACTGCCTCCTCACACAGAGCTGCAAGTTTAATTGCCTGATGGGACTCACATTCCACATGAGTGCAAGAGTACCTCTGGATCAAGGTTCAGCAACTTCAGAAAATCCATTCTTTCCTTACAACACTGTGTGCCGTGCCTCAGGCTTCTTGTTCTTGCTACTTGTAAAACAGTCCTTACTTGAGTGATTGGCTCTGTGAGCTATGCAAAATAGACTATTCATTTCCATTTTCTCTCTGTGTTTTGTTAAAATTTCATGATGCTACTGTATGTAATCTTTGTCAAAAGGAGAACTTAAATCTAGATACAGTAGGCAATTTACTGTAGCTGCTGTTAGAACAAGTGTAATAAGGAATTATACAGTCTCCTCACTGCCTCCTGCTCTTGGTTTAGCAGTGAATTCCAATGAAAAATATGAGTTGTGGTTCTGGGGCAGCAGTCGGGTCTACAAACAACGCCCATACTGAGAGACATCCTCATTACACATCTGAGATAAATCTGGACTTAGAATTCCCTATCCTGAGTAGGGATTTCGAAGAAAATAGATTTGAACCTGAGTTCACTACTATGGGGACACAGGACTGTTAAAGACAGTGAAAAGAACTACTCAGGGTTTTTTCTTGAGATAAAATCACATTGAGATAATCCTCCTACTTTAGCAATCCTCCTTCTATAGGAAAGAGATTTAATAAATATAAATAAAACAATGACCAGGATTACACTTTTCAAGTGCTTATTCAAATGATCACACAAGTTTACCTACCTCCACATTCTAAATATGTTCAATACTAAACATCATCCAAAGACCATACACTACATCTGCTCTACTCACTATTAACTCCATCACCTCAGCACTGTAATTCCTGATTCATGCTGAATAATCCAGAGTAGAATTTGACTCACCTTGTACCAGAATATTGTAGATAGAAAGGACTAAGATTCACCTTAACACTTGTATTTTTAGGAACCACATAGTTTCCACAAAAGGTCAAGTTATTCCACAGACACTGACAAACAAGACTGAAAAAAAAAGATAATTTACAACTTGTACAGTTCTGTTCAAAGCAGGGCATGCAAGCAAATGGAACAGAACTTGAGTGAAAGCACGAAGGCAGGCTCAGCCAGCCAGTCTGTTCACAGAGGGGGATTATTATTATGATTAGTGCAAGTGGACATGGATAACCCTCTTTCTGTTTCTGTGACACATCTGTAGCTCAATCCTCCATTTAAATCTGTCTGTCTCTTGCTGTGTTACTGGAAAATGCAAAATGAAACATCTGTGTTCCAGATAGGCACAGAGCAGGAATGCTTTTTAATATCCATTCAGAACATGACACCAGTCATATAACATATAGAGGCAAATTGGAAGTGGTGATTGGTTGTAGGGGAAGAAAAAGAGCAATAGGTAAGGGATATACAGAAAAGTCCCTTTTTCCTTTCGAGTAAGGTGATGTTCTCTTCACCTTTTGTTTAGACTAAAATCAGCTGTGAGGAATCCATCTCTCCTGAAATTTAGTTGGATACCAGTCCATTCATTCATAACAGAACTTGGCATCCTGTTGTGCAAATGTCACTTGTTCTGATTCTCTGACAGTAATGATGACTTCTGGAAGGATAATTCCTGTTACAACTACTTTAAGTCACCCAGGAGACAGCAGTTGTGCCAGGTTAGACTGTTATCTAGAAATTGTGGCCCAAGTACAAGAGTGGAAAATGTATTTCAGAAAATGCTTCCTTTCCTTTTAGTGACTCAGTCATTTATCTGACTAAAATCTGTTCCCATGCATAGAAATCCTGCAAGATAAATCCCAAAAATGCTGACAGCAGGCTACATTTATGTGAATGGTTGTCATTAAATCACTCCCAATGAATGGCTTTCGAAATTGCCTATCTAATAGCATTTTTCTACCTTAAAATCATTCCAATGTTAGTCTTCCATTTCACTATAGATGTATGTACTGTTATTTTGGGAGTTATTTACATTGTCCAAGAGTTCTCTCATCTGCTTCAGTCATTTGGTCATCTTGTTCTGCTGACCAAAAAAAGCTTTATATTCAAATCCAACAACATCTGTGTATGTTGTGTGATTTTGTGCACAAGATTTTTCCTCAATAATCAGGGAATTTAGTTTTATGGACAAAGTTTTAGGCTTAAGCCCCATATTAACAGAACACTACAGTACTTCATCTCAAAACAGCAAACAAACAAAGTCAATCTCAGCATCCTTCTGTATTTTCTCAGCCATCAGATGAATCTTAGAGCTGCTGCCATGCATCCACTAATGTCTATCCTGGGATATGGCAGTAACAGCAAGGTTTTTGAATATTTCCTCCTGTTTGACACTACTGAGAAAGTGGATAATTGATACCCATTAGAGCAGGCCTAGAGCCTGGGGTAGATCCTATTCCTAATAATTTCTGGAAGAAAGAAGTCTATTACTTCTACTCTTGTGAAAGTAAAATAATGGCAGCTTGTTCCCAAATAAAGCAAATGCACAAAATTAATATACATGTTAGCCTAGTAACTAAGAGGTAAGCTCTACATGCCCCTGACTTCTGGCTGAATTTTCAGAAGAGTTTTAATACAGCTTTCTGAAAAGTAATTAGACCTGGCTGTGAATACTGCACAAAATATGGAAGTAATTTGGTTTCATTTCACCATAAATGAAAATAAAAATAGTCCCATTACAGCTAAGTATATTTGTCTTCAGTTGTATGCATGGAAATGCTGTGGCTGTTATGAGATATATTTTAAAATGAAATTTTATCCTAGAAAAAACAAGAGGACAATTTAACATTTATGTCTTCAGCAGCTGTAAAATTACTCCATTGCCTTTTGTGCAGCAGTTTTCTAGTGAAAAAAAATGGCATGACTGCTTGACTCCATTCAGTGTTTACCAAACTCATCAGCGGGTTCAGCCAGTGAAGATTGCACCTGAGCCAGCCTGTATTGCTGTTTGGTTTAATCTTGATCCATATCTACACAAACTTCAGTCATACCAACCTACTACAATTTAGAAACACCATTACCTTATTTTCTTTTTAGCTCCATCTTTTCTTTTTCTCTCTTGGAGCTTCCACTTATCACAATGTTAAAAGTATAAAAAGCACATAATTCTTTAATGGCTTTACAACAAAACTTTAGGCCATAAAAATATATATCTTTTGTTATAGATGCATTATTTTTGTGATTTTCTGAGATTGCACAATGGCAGAGAAGGAACAACAAAATCAGAATGTTAAGTTAAAAGGTGGAAAGAAGTCTAAAGATCACAAAGCCTAGGACTCTGTATCCAAATATCACCTTTTTTCCCCCTCTTTTTCTTTCACAGCATTCTGACTCCAACTCTAACCTGAAGAAGCGAGTGAACTCCATCACATCTCAGGCAGAGCAGTCTCCTGAACCCAGCATAATATCAAATACTGCATCCCAGTGTCAGCCTCTGCCTGTTCCTCCACCAGCCCCACCACAACCACCACCTATTGGAGGTGCAAGCAAAATAGACCAGTATTCCAGGATCCTCTTTCCAGTGGCATTTGCAGGATTCAACCTGGTGTACTGGGTTGTTTATCTTTCAAAAGACACTATGGAAGTGAGTAGTATATTTTCTGAATACTCTATAATATGTAATATATACTTGGCCAGCATTATTTCAATTGTTCATTTACTGTTGCAACTCAGTTCATCAGTCTTTTCTGAGCAATACTAGAATGTTTTCTCAAAAAAATCAGCTGTAACATTCAGTACAATGCAGAAAGGTTGTTTGAGGAGGGAAAATATAAACACTTCTCTCTAACTCATGCTGCACAGAGCAGAAAATTCTCTGTAAGACAGCACAGGATGTTCTCAGCAAACAAATCTTAAATCTTCTATTTCTTAACCTATTGTAAAGAATGGTGGAAATACCTGTTGAAGCTATGAAGTGAAAGAGATAAGAACTTTAATATCCTAAGGTTTTCTCAGGGAGCTAGTACCATAAGTCCCCCCAAAAAATTTGTTATATAGTATAAAAGATTAGTAAATGCAGTATAAAATTTGTGAATCAAGAATACCTGGTTTTGTAAATTACAATATATTTTTCCTGGTTTTTTTATATAAATCATACAACCTTGTGCAAATAAGGCTGAAAAATATTTTCTTAAGTTTGTGAATCAGGCAGAGAGTGATTACACCTTTAGATAGCCAGGAGGTCCAGAAGAGACCTGCAAATGGAGCATGTCTAGGATATTCAGTCAGTAATCAGTCATTAAACTTTAAGTATTTTATGCTTTAAATTTCTATTTTTCCCAAGTTAATGACATCCTATTTCCTTGGTAAAAAATATTTGCCTCGTTGCTATAGAGTTTTGGATCTCACTGTACATTATAGTCAATTTGATTGGTACATTTAGTTTATTTAGGACAGCTAGAGAGATAATGATGGTTTCTAGATAGCACCAAATGCACAAAGTCCCTACATCAATACAAACAGAGGCTGAAAATCTGGTATCAGTGGGGATCAGGCTGTACCTTTATTTCCTAGATGAAAGGTAAAGCAGGCTGAGGGAAATCTCGTGGGCAGCCAAGAGATGCTGCAGTTCAAAGCAACAAGACAGTGCTGATCATCTAATCTGGTGACACCTTACCTCTGCTAGAAGGCTGCTGCTCTACCAGAATCTAATTTTGCCTACCAGTATGATCTGGAAAATGCTGTCTCTCAGAGATGGGGTGTGCTGCCAAGCAGCTTCTGTGGAATTGTGAGGGCAGGAAGGTAGGAGACACTGTCTCTCACAAATGTTCCTGCAGATGTCTCTCAAGAGGTCACAGCTGCCAGCTCCTGGCCACTCCAACCCTGCCCAGTGCTAAATTTAGCATTTGTGCCAGAGTTACTGATCCTGCTGTTAAAATATTGACTAAGTGTGCAAATTACTTATCTCAGTCAGAGAACGTAGGTATTGGAAAAGCTCATGTCTGATCATGACAACTTCTGTTCAGAGGCCAGCTCCTCAGCTTGCCAAGACTCCAGTGATTAAACCATTCACATTCTGGATCTAGAAATATTTGGAACATACTTGCCATTTCCCTTGGTGGTGATGAAATATTTACACTAAACCTCGTATATTAATAATAACATTAGAACCAGGCTTTTAAAATACTTCCAAAATCTAGGACTAAGTGCTGACTATAAATATTTTTAAATGCTACTGTGCAAGCTGACAAACATGCTCAGAAGCTCAGAAATTATGTTCTGTAGTAGCATTACAGAATAACAGAAATCCAGCAGCAAGGCTTAGAAAAGAGAACAATATTGAAAGCTGGGGTGTTTTGAATTATGAAGAATTTAAACAATTATGTAAATTTTGACCAAGATCTTCTTCATAAATTACATTTCTGCATCTGTGTACTCAGTTATAATTAATAATAATTGTGATATACACTGCTAGGTTTCTAATTCAAACATTATATCACCAATTGTTGCTTTCAACAACCAGGATTCTTTTTGCTTTAAAGTATATTAAAAATATGTAAGCTTTTATTTTCAAAGAGAACAAATACAAAAGTTGGGTGAACAAAGCATGGAGTGCTTCAATGGTAGTTAATCTTTGGCTCCCTCAGGCCCACCAGATTTAATGTTGTTACAGTATTATTCAGCTTATTCAATTTAAAAAGTGCATTTTGTGCAGTATTTCAGGTATATTAGTTTTTTAAGTTACTTTTTTGAGTTCATGGGACTTTTGTTTATAAAGAAGTAAAGATGAAAAAATCTAATTAATTTATTGAAATAAACAAATTTCCAGTATACCAGCTCTTGTACTGCAACTTTCTAGGATTTTTATTAGTGCAGTTTGGAGTGCAGAACATGATTCACCAAATCATGTGCTTAGACCAAACAGCTACCTAATGTCTTTGGAGGTACACAGAGAATCAATCAGGCATTTCATGACCCTGTTGGAAAAAGCAGGTTATTAGTGCTGGAATCAAAGGTCATTTTCAACTCCTATCATTATTTTTTGGCCAGGCTCTTCCTTTGGCTTTGAAGGAGGAACAAGAAGAGTTTTTTACTTCATGTTCTGGATTCAGAGCCTCAGCTGGAACGAGCAGCCTTGTTAGTGTAATGACACAGAGGTGCTTGAAATGAGGAGCTTTTTTCTAAGCTGTTTGGTACGAGTTCAATACACTACTAAGCAATTTTCTTTGGCTTAGATAATGTGTTATAGAAATGAAAAAGTCATTTTTGTGTATGGAATCTCATAAGATTTATGAGAACTTTGGGGACTGACTGCTTTTCAAAGTGCTCCTTGGCTAATTTTTTCTTCCCCTGCCATTAATAATTTTCTCTTCAGGTTAATCACCTTTTTGCTTACTATACATGTAAACTAAGAGTATGTAAATTACACAGACATTTTTTGATTTTGAAGTTTGTATAAAGAAGAGGGTGTTTTTAATAAAAGTATGCCTTTAAACATTTGAATGTTATCATAGACTGGTTTGGATTGGAGGGGAGCTTAAAGATCATAGAATTCCACACCCCTGCCATGGCAGGGACAATTTCCCCTAGACCAGGTTGCTCCAAGTCCAGTACAATCTCATCCTGAAAAATTCCAGGGATGGAGCATCCACAGCTTCTCTGAGCAACCTGTGCCAGGGCCTCACCACTCTTACAGGGAGAGCAGCCAGGACTGGACAGAGAGCAAAAGTATCTTACACTGAACTCTGTATTTATACTTCCATACATACTGCACCAAGTCAAGCTTTGCAAACCAGGAAGCTTAGTAGCAAACTTTCATTACAAGATTAAAATTTTCTATATTTTAAATTAAAACAGCACCGTTCTCTGAATTTTTGAAAATTTTTGAAAAAAATTAAAAAATTTTTTCTTTCTCTAAAAAAAAAAAAAAAGAAAAAAAAAATCCAGGTTAAAATTAAGTAATTCACCTGAATGCTTTTTTTACATGGAGGGGGATAACATTAATCTTTTGGTCTTAATATTTAAATAAAGGATTGAATTCTCTATTGGAAAAGTGAGAAAACATTCTTATTAATAGCAATCATCCACTGTGCAACTTGATACATAAGATATTTCAGTGTAAATGGGGTTTGCACTGGGGAATAGCAATAGCATTGCAGAACAAAAAAAATGTACTGGTCAAAACAAAGAAATTAAACTAGCAAAGTTCTCTGACTGTATTTTGTCAGACTGTATATTGGTAGAATCTAATATAACCAAAGGACTACAAAATCTATAAAATAATGGATGCTAGTTTTTTGACCACAGAAAATGCTGTAAGACACTTGTAAGATAAGCCCCTTTTTCTCTCAAAAGGTTTTATAAGTTAATGCTGACAGGTGCTAATTATAGTGATATCACAGTGCTATTTATACTATGAAAAAAATAAAGCATCAGAGTTACTCTAAGAGGACTTACTCCCTCTCTATGTAAGGTGAATTAAATTAGGTGGAAGGTTTGAGGATGTAGCATCCCCATCTATTATACATGCAGGACAGAACATTTCTATGGTTCATGTTCTTCTATAGAATACAGTAATAGCTGCCATCCACAAAAAGCTCTACACAGTAATGAAAAAGACACATTTGTCTAAATTAGACAAACAGAAAAGTTCTTGAAAGAAGAGCAAGCCTTTCTGACAAATGAGGAAAAATATATTCTAGCTTTGTATTTTGTCATACAGCACATTTTAGCTTTGTTTTTGGTTTTAAATCTTCCTAAGTCCTTTAGCTGAATACTAATTTATGTGTATTCACATAATAGCTGAATACTAATTTATGTGACAGTGACCTTGGGAGGTGAATCTCACACTCAGTTGATTTTAAAATTTTCTTGATTTAGAATGCAAAGAGTCCCCTTTTAAAGAGTTGCAAGTACTACTTTTGCCATATAACTCACAATGCATATGCCACTGACACATCATCTTATGCACCTTATTTCTAAATTTATCTATCTTTTTTTTTATATGTAACATTATAGTATAGTTTCTCATGTAATAAAACATGGAATAATGGAGTAAATCAAACTAGATAAGGAGATGATGTTAAAATCTTGATGATAAATCCAGAAAAATAGCAGAGGCAGCTTTCACTCTTGGGAGCACAGGAAGATACAAAGTCACAGAATAGACCAAAGTTGCTGAGTCCTGGATATTATTTGGATGCAGAGAACATAGCAGGATGGCAGGAGAAGATTTACATAAGTCAAAGATGCTATTGATGTCAGGTGTGAAGAAAAAGGAACAGAGAAAGAAACAAGAGCACGAAAACTATTTTGCTTCAGTACATTGATATTATAAAGCTTGTAGTGCATATCATTACATCATTTTTCAGTTTAAGCACTGGAAAAATAAAGGAGGAACAGTCATTGCCGTACATATTTAACAACTGGGCCTTGATGATCCAGGTGATGAGCATCAAATTCTAAGAGGATTCTCCTTGTAATGCAGTTTATTTTGAGTCTGCTGAGAGAGTTGGAAATCACAAGGGTTTGTGGATTAACTCAGTTATTGTTAACAGTGGTTAACAACCCACAGTTTAAACCTCTCCAAACTTTTTTTCCAGTTTTTTGAACCTTCAGCAATGCATTTTCGAAATGACCCTCAGTCCAACTGAAGAACAGCTCAAGATTTCAAGGAAATCCCTCAAGGTCACAGAGGATTGAAGCGACTTCAAAGGATTTGCCTGTCCACAGGTGATCTCAGTTTTCAAACAGGGAATATTTTTATTGGACATTACCTGGATGCAAACTCTGGACAAATCAAGAGCTGCAAACTTCTTAGGGATCTAATTAATATTTTCTTAAGATTTCTTACAATGATTCTACTACAGAAGTTATTTTTAAATTATTTGTCTAATTGTCAAAGGAAAGACTGTTCATTTCTTCCAAAACATTTGTAAACAATTGAATGTTTACATTTATATGAAACATCAATAAAAGGGTTTGGGCTTTTTTAATAGAATAAGGATTGCTAAACTCAGCTGATTCTGAAATGGTATAACTTGGCATAGTTTCAGTGAAAAATCTAGGAGTTGTACTGATTTTCAGCACTTGAAAGTGACCCAAAACAATGCTGGATAGAAATCCTATGAAAAGGAGCTGTAGTTCTATCATGTTTTAACTCCTTAATATAAAATATAAAGGATTAGTTCTTAATTATTTTCAATTTAATTTTCATATTTGAGATGACACTTATAAAGAATTAGATACAAGGGGGGAAAAGGAAACATAAGCTATTTTTTTTGTGCTTTAGCTAGTTGGTTACCACAGTGTAACTTCCTTTGTTGAAAGTCACCATTGAAGTACAACAAGACCAATAACAAGCAATTTCTTGGCAGAATCTAGAAATGTTGGACTGGAATTTCAGGGAGTTTTTAAGGTCTAAAGCTGAATAGACAGAAAGATGCAGCTACTCATCAGGCTAAATGCAAGCCTCCAGCTCCAGGGAACTTCCTGGAAGCAGGCCTTGATTACTAGTTAAGGAACAGCTTTTTTTATCAGCTGATTCTACTGAATTGCCTGTAGCAAACTCCCTAGAAATGTTTTCTAGAGCCAAAGAACTGCCAGCACATTCAGAGTTTAAAGGTAATAATATTTTGCCACTCTCAACACAAACAGTTACAGAATTCCCTCATTCACCCTTCATCTCTATGATCCTTCTCAGGAATGTAATTAGGAAACATATGTCTAATCAAACCAAATTACTGCTGGTGTAATGGACATTGGGAGGAGTCAGAAGCACACAAAGAAGTTTTATATGAAGCTAAATAAAAAGTAAGGATTCCATCCTATCTTGAAATTTCAATACGATAAAATTAACCAGAAACATGAAATAATAGGCAGATTCAGGATATGCAGAGTCATTTACGTTGTCTACACAAACATCTTAATCCCTGTGAGAAAATTCTCACAGGCTAATTGATTCCAGTAAGTCACCAACCTTTTATTGGTACCACAACCATTTTAACTATTTGAAGGCCTTGCTCCAGCTGTTTTCCTCCTCCTATTTCTAGAGCTTTTACTGCTGTGGTAGCTGGAGTGATCATGGGAAATCCTTTTTGCACACCCTGTTCTCTAACTCTGAAGGGCTTAAATGAAACAATTTAAGGATTTTACTCAATAATAAATATTATTTGTACAGAAATGTCACATTTGCTATTTGCTTTTTCTGACTGGCTGCAAGCTGGCACACTTGGAGGTACTTGTAAATGCATGGAATTATATGTACATTTTGCTTTCAAACTAAAGTCCTGAAAATTTTTCCTATTTGCAGCCTTTTTATACTGTTGTAAGAAAAAATTAAACTATGGATACTGGGAAAATATTTTATAATTTGTAAATACATCTTATGTTGAAAAAAGCAAATTATGCAGTAGGGACCCAGAATTTATTTTTTAGAATAACTATACTCACTCTTGCTTCACTAGTTTCTATTTTGAGTACATTAATATCTCTAAGAGTTTCCAGAGTACTTTAAAACTGGTTTATACACTATATGAAAATGCTTAAAAGCTATGGTAAAAAATGTAACACTAAAGGAGCTAAATTTTGTATCTAGTCTTTGCTTAAAAGCAATCTGAATACTAATTTTACAGCAGATGCAGAAAGTTACTAAATAGTGACTATTTCCTTGAAATGTAGTATTTCAGTATATAAAATGGTGGTAACTCCCCAATTAGGAAGCAGCATAAGCATCTTAAAGTTGTTTTAGTAGCTCTTGGTATTTAATAACACATTTCAACATGAGCACAAACACTGCTTATCTTTTTTCTCCAAAGAGCTTTTCCTGTGGGTATGGCAGAGAAGGGTTGGTTCTCCTCAGCATTTTGAATGGTAGGAAGGGAATGCGTATTTTTCCTGTTACATACTTTGTAGAGACATGGGTGTAATCAATAATGTTAATAATGTCAAGTTATATCTTAGAAGAAATGCAATTACTTACAATTAATGTCACTTCCTAACAATCCTGGTTATGGTCAAACACTAATCAACCAAGCAAGACAGTAAAAGAGCAGAGAACTAGAAAAAGGTTATATACATATATGTATATATTTCTGTATGCATATATACATATGTATTTCTGTAGAAAATATAAATAATCAATAAATAATACCATAATAAATAATATCTATTTCTTTCTGTATAACAAATTGAAAGGAAATTTAGGGATATGGGTTTCTTCCAGTATTTTTGACTGTACTGCAATAGGAAGAGCAGGAGCTAAGGTTGCTCTAAGATGGGAATTCCTGTGTGTGAAACAGAGCACTGTAGGGATGAGATGTGCAATTACATTGAGCTATTGCACTCTAATGCACATTATTCAACACAAAATTACCTTTCTATGGATCTTGGTAGAAAGGATACTCTGCTTTCAGCCCACACAAAGTGACCAAATGTAGTTTACATTCAGCTTTAGCATGTTCTACTTGATCAGAAGTGCAAGAAAAAAAAAGCATAACTATGAACAAAATTACAGAATTATTTCATAGTAAATTAAAACCTTTGATTAAATATAAATCTTTATTATTCTTGATCTGGGCTCTACCCCCACCCCATTATTTTTTTCATAATTTCTAAGCTAAATGAGAACCCAGCCATTTTAAGACATAAAAATTATGCAATGGCACACTAGATCAGCCTTGAGATTACCCACTCCTGTGTTCAAAGGGTACTTCTCCACAGCAGCTAAAACAGGAGCTGCATAAACTCCAGAAATGTGAAGAAAAGTCCTGATAAAGGGCTCTGTCCAGTCTTTTGATATTTTGATACTACCTGTCAGGTAACAAACTCAAGACCTTTCTCTTATATGCAAATAAAATTCAGAGGTGACTTTGTCATTGCTTAGTTCATTGCATTCTTGGTTTTCTTCCAGTTCATGACAAGAGCAGCATTCCTCATCTGCCTTCTCTAATGAATTAATTCTTGCAGGATTTGCCTCTAATTGGTAATCAATCAAAGCCTTTCAACTCTCTGCATAAATGATGTCTGTCACCTGGCTTTATGGAGAAATCTGTAAAAGAAAAAGTCCTTATCCACAGTCAGAATGGGTGGGGACTTGAGAAGTTGTGCTCTGCATCACTGCTCCAGTAAAATCATCCCTCAGCCAGAGCTGGAGTGGTGCTTGTGCACAAAGAATGGAGCTCTGCAGCTCATTCCCAGGCAGCACTTTGGTACAACCCACAGCAACTCAGAAAAGTGTATTGCAAGTAGAAGTTGGTGACAAAGCACAAATGAGACTCAGCCATGCTTTGAGATGTGAGTCACAAACCAGAAACTTTTACCAAGAGAAATGAAGGAATCCAAAGAAACCAAAGCATCTCCAAAATTGTAAAGTAGGAAAGAGAATTCCACACTGATTGAGAGTCCTTCAAAATAACAACAGCAACAAAACAAACAAACAAAAAAACAGACAAAAAAAACCCCAAAACAAAACAAAAAAAACCAACCAACCAAATTCTTACTCCTACCCAAACCCAAATTATATGTCATCTTCCAATCACAGTTAGGGAAAAAACCCACACCCATTTAATGTAGTTCTATAAAAGTAGGACAATCCAAGGCATTGAGGAATCCCATAAAGCATGTAACATGCATCTCTACTAAATCACTTTACAATACACTTGGCTTGATCTCAAAGGAGTCATTAGCTCATGAAAACAGGATCTGGCCTCAGTTATGACTAGATTATTTTAACCTCCATAAAAAGTGTAATTTCTAATAGTTTAAAGGTACTAAATTCTTTACATGTCTTAAAGAGCCAATAAGCCTCCTCCAGGCCATATATAGTTACATATTTAAGTACTAAAGCAAAGGTTTTTTTCCCCACCTCATACCTTCTTTGTTTATAATAACAATTTCATGGAGCAGATACAAATATTTCATAATTTAAAACTAAATAAAACAAATAAAGGAATACTTATTTCTGCTATTCTTGTACATTTTAAAAAAAGGTAGAAAGTATAAACTGTTAGAAATTGACTTTTCTAAGGGCTATAAACTCTGTGCCCTGAGGTAAACTAGGTGGAGTCATAGAGTTCCCAACTGACACGTGGGGAATGGATGTGAGATTAAAAAGTGAGGTATAAGCAATAAAGTCACAGGTTTTAACATGAGGATGTTAAATTAATGAATTGTTTGTTCCATGGATGAATCTATTGGAAAGATTGGATAGTGATGATGAGACTGACTAGAAATGATCAGAATTAAGCAATTGCTTTGTCCAAAATTCAAAATTCACTGAACTGAAATTTAAAAAAGTAAGGTAGGAACATCTTTGTGGGAACAAAAAGTTAAAGTTTTTTCCATAAATGTAATTAATGTGTATTCTCAAGTTTTAGTAATTTATGAATTCCTTGTGGGCTAAAACTTGTTATGCTTCACATACCCCATTACCTTTCATTTTAAATGAATAAAAACTATTCTTACTTGGTACAGTCTTCACATAAAATCCAACATTAATTGTTTGGTATGAGATGTCTGCTTGCAACTCAAATGTATTAAAAATAAAAATAATTCAGACTTCATTGTTTTAATAGCAACTACAGTTTTTGTCAGGTGGATTTTTAAACCAATATGATGAATCTGTGAGCTTTACCCTTACTACTTTCAGTGCTTTATGCTGATGTAACTTCCAACACAATAAAAGTAAAGTAATTCTAGTGAAGCAGATTGAAGTACAAGGTGAAAGGAAATCACTAGTGACATATATAATTAGCTGTTTTAAATACCAACTTTTTTAGCCTATTTTATAAATCAGTTGTAATAGTACTGCATTTCTTAAAATCATATAGACCAACTATTACAAAAAAAAAAAAAAGCATAAATCAATTTAGAATGAGATCCCTTAAAAGAGAATATAAAAAAAAAAATAGTGACCTACAACTTTCAGTAATTACTTGAATTAATGCAACTGCATTAAGAATGCCCATTATGTACTTATAAATAGTGAAACAAAAAATCCCAAGCCATTGTTTATGTGCCCTATAAAGCCAGCATGAGGAGACTATAACAGTGAACAAAGGAAAAACTCTCATAGGTGCAGGAACTTAAAAGCCAGAAAACCACAGAGTCTTTATATAGAGTGGACTGATTTGTACTTCTCTTCTGCACACAAAATATTTATAGCAGAAATTCACTTTTTATGTTTGAGATCTGTTCATTAACAGCTCATAATAGAGTAGTCACAGGAGTATTATTGTGTGCTTGAAATAAATTAAAACCACTAGGTAAATGTGCTCTACTCAGGACCAATAAAGAACAAACAAAGCTAAGAGATCTTATAATTCCAGCTCCACTGGAAGTTAAGATCCACATGAATCCGAAAACCTGCTTTTATTCTAAGATTGGAAAGTAATTTATTCACCCACAAGGTATCATTCCTTTGTGGGATGATTGTGGAGTCACAAAATTTATAAGCGAACATCTTAGTGTTCTGAAATCACCAGGAAAATATCCAGGTCAGTGATGTGCAAGCTAAGACTTTTTCTCCCTGCAGTTCCATTTGAAGGTGTAGCAACCTCAAAACATCTCCCATGATACCCTTGCGAGGAAAAAATAATTTCTGGAGTTGCTAATGGGAAAAGAGCTGTTGGAAACTGTTCTTATTTTAGTACTAAAATGAGAAGGTAAAACCGGACTTTGTTACTTTATATTTCTGCAAAGGACAGTTTGGTCATTAAGATTATTCAAATAAATGACTTTTGGGATGGTATCCAAAAAGGACAATTACAGATAAATTAAAACTTACATTTACCATATTCCTTATTGACCACACCAACATTTCCTCAAGGGCTGAGAAGATGGAAAAAGTGCTGGCATGATTACAGAGAAAACAAGGAGCAAAGAGCCTTTTGTTTATGGTGTTGAAGGACGGGGAGCCTTCTGGTTCCTTCACATCACTGGAGCAGCAGAAATGTAAAAACACTTGGACCGAAGTGCAGTGCAAGCACGTGCTGCCAGGTCTTCTTGCACTGACACATCATTGTCCATGGAAGCCAAAATGTCACATGAAAATTAGCAACAACAAAGGTAAGCAGAAAGCACTCACGTCAGCACAACTCCACTTGACATCACTTTCAAAGAAAAATGTTTCATTCTAGAGACAATAAAAAATTTCCTTGGAAAATATCAGGGCACATTTTCCCTCTGTCAATTCTCATTTTATTCTGCATTCTTTTCTAGGCAGTTTAATGAAAACTAGATAGGTTAGGTCAGTCGGTTTTTGTGAAGTCACATGAGAAACCTGTTTGGATCTGCACGACAGGACTCCACCAAGGCTGCTGGATGGATTCTCCAGTAGGGGAAAGAAACATAAATGGGCTGAGGATCAAACACACAGGAAAAGTGGTTCTTGAACTAGAGAGCTTAAATGTAGAACTGGACAAAGAAATGAGCCTGCCTTCCCTCCCTGTGAGATTTTGGTCAGCACAGATTAAATCAGAGCATTCACATAAGTTGTGATGTTATTAAAATCAAAATATTAGTTATCAAAATTGTTTCTTTTGTTCACTTTAATGCTTCTGGCTAAAGTTTTTTAGGTTTGGGTCCAAAGTGTATTGCCATCCCCACCACATCTTCCCTAAAGACACTGGGTGACTTTTCATTGAAAAAAATCCTGAAAACATCCTCGAGTGAACAAAAATTTTGTTTGTTGAAGGGACCAATTTTCCATTGAAAAACAATATCACCAGAAATTAATCAGAATTTACTCACCTATAATTTATCCCAGAGGCAAGAGAGTTGGGAAAGTAAAAAAGTGACATTCAAGGAAGTTACTTCTTTCCTAATGATGGTACAAGGATCACTTTATAGTAGAAATAATGATAAAATGCAGGACACACATCCAGAATACTGTTCCTGGGATGGTATGCCTTTCATTATGAAGAAATTCAGAGGGTTGCAACTCCTTTGAGACAGCAGTTCCTGCTGCAAATTTAAAGATGAAACAAAGAAAATTGACAGAACTCTCAACACCCAATGCTATCCCTACACAGCAGAGCCATATGAAAATGTAAAAATGCATGCAAAAATGCAGTAAAATGAACGTAAAAATGCAGTGGCCTCCAGAGGAAGAGCCCACATGGACTGAGAGGAGCATGGCAGCCATCACAGACTGCCAAAATACAGAA